GGATGGAGCTTCTATTTCTTTAGGTAACTCTTAAGGAACTCGTACGGTTCATCAGAGGGCACACACCAGTGCCAAAGAGAACAACGTTTTTGTGTTTTTATTGTCAGTTTTATTTACAAGCCGTTTTTGTAAATTCGAAGTGTTAAGACCGCATGATTATTATTGTTTGCATGAATCTAGCTAGCTGTTTGCATTCGGACATTTCCCTAATGTACATTCGCAAAAATTGGCCCAGAATGAATTTTTTTTTTTTTTTAAAGAGTGGAATTCCAAGTGAATTATTTTTCATTTCATGTAGCACGGATACCTGAAACTGGATAAAACAATTTTTGTCTCCACTCCCCGATAGATCTTTGATTAAACAGTTTTAAGAGTAGATTAAACCAATTATTGTGAGAGAGTGTCGTTACTTCTTAATGGTGAGACCAAGTGGGGATTTCTTGTTTGGAAGTCACTCTGGGTTACAATTCTTAGGATTTACTTATATGGTTTTTGGAGTATTTAAATTCCAGAGAGCTCACACTGTTCATTTATTTATTTGTTTGTTTGTTTGTTTGTTTGTTTATTATTAAACATAAAAAATAATGTCTACTTAAACAGTGTGTTGTCTGGGTACAGTTAATTTTGAGAAATAACGATGATGATGATGATGATAACAATGATATTAATAATGACCACATAATAATAAGTGTTTGCTTATCCATTTAAGTAAACCTTCCTTATACAATTAATCATTCTCTTATGCTTTTAAACTTCTAACTTCTGTTTCTATTAGTTAGCCATTTGTAAAACAAATCCCATGTTAAAAAATATTCAGTTATTCTTCTCTCTCCTTAATTGTAAGTGTTAATCTATCCATTTCTAGCTCGCACTGTTCTTAACCTATGCTTGCAACTTGTGTTCAACTGTATTTTAAGAAAACATTTCATGTGTTTCAAGGTCCCTTCCAGCTCTATTTGGATTCTTCTTCTTCTAAATGAGTCCCGTTTTGTTGTTAACAAAGTTGGTTTCCGTAGATCACAAATGAACTGCCTCCTGATACTGTATACATATATATTGAATAAATATACCACTAAAGCTCTTCTATAAATCCATGCACCACTGTAACCTAATTTCAGGATTCAAGCTCGGATGCTGAAAAGCACAATCTCTTTTTCAGTTTCAAGATGACAAAGATGAAAACAATCCTATTAGACATAAGACAGGGATTTAAAAACGGATCTTATTCTTCTACCTGTTTTTATTTTGCAAAATTTGCAAAGGAGATGGCAGGAGGCTGCTTTGATAAATTATATCTATTTTCCGGTGTTTTGATGAGATTGAAAATAATGTTAACACGGAGAAGATAAAGCAGTGATGGCTAACCTTTTTGTTGTCGTATGCCGAATGCGCCCGCGTGCCTCCACCCATAATGCAATGCATGTGCAACAAACACACACCGTGCCCCCTGGCGCATGAACGCATGACTCTCCCCCCCCCCAACACGCCTCATTTTGGGCCTAGTAGGGAGCAGCCTCCTGGGGAAAAAAATGGGCCACAGGAGGGTCATGCTGCACACCCCACACACCGTTTTGGGCCTGGTAGGCCTTCCTGCAGCCTCCTGGGAGCAAAAATGGGCCATGCCCCCCCCCCACGGCCACATGCGTGCGACCCACACACATGTGCGACAGAGACCCCAAAATCAGCTGGCTGGCGGGAGGCCCGGGCGCATGGACGGAGGAGCTGAGCTGGGGCGGCATGCCATAGGTTCGCCATCACGGAGATAAAGAATCCGAAAGGGGTTTCAGTTGTGCTGTCTGGATTGGCAGATTGAACCTTGGATGGATTCTGGACTCAACCTAGGAGACGTCGTGCTGAAAAATACAGTTTTCTCCCCCGCTTGTTTCAGCTGCTGCAGTTTTGAACACTGTCTGGATTTGTGGTTCTGGGAAAATCACAGCCCCTGTCGGTGTTTATGAGCAAGACAATATGTCTGAGCCCCTGGGAGCTCTCGGCAACTCTTGACGGTTAATCTAATTACCAGGAGTGTGGAAGAAAACAAAAAAACTAGTATGAAAAAGTTTCAGAGCAAGCAGATTTTTCATTTTTTTTCCCCATTCCTGAGTGCTTTGGAACATCTCGAATTTTCACTCTCCAAAAACGCAGAACTAGGAGAGGGATGTTAGTCAGGGAGCATTTTCACGCTTTAGTCTGTCTACATCTCGAGAAATTTGCCCGTTCTGAATTTTGATCGGATTTATTGGATATAAGGCTGGGAGGGAAAATAAATAAACAGTCTTACTGTTTACCAGAGGGAGAAATTGAAATTAAAAGCCAGGTAAAATTAGCGATCTCTTCTCATCCTTCCTTAGGGTGGTGGGGAAGAATCAAATTGCAAAATCAAGCTTTTGAAATGGATTCGCACTTTTATGTTCTCTTTGCTTTGGCTGGTCCTGCAATGGATTATTACAGGGGTGTCAAACTCAAGGCCCAGATGTGGCCCATGGGATGCTTAGATCTGGCCCACGGGGCTGCCCTGGAAACAGCGAAGGACCAGCCCAGGGTGGCTCTGCCAGCAGAAACGGGGCTCTGTATCTGCTGGCAGAGGGTTTGTCCTAGGCTTCCCAAGAGCCTGAAGCAAACTCCTGGTCCTGACAAAAAACCCCTTTTATTAATTGACTGTGAATTCTGCTCATTCACCTCCAGCAAAGTCTTTCGAGGGAGGAGGATTTACAGTCACAGACCTTCTCTGGCTTGGAGAACTGCCAGGCCGAGATCAGCAGAACTTGGCCAGGAGTCTCGGAGAGTCACAAACCAATTAAGCGAACTAATTGCGCCCTGCAAACTCCACCCCCCTTTCGCTCCCCTTTTATTCCCTCTGGGAGATAAATTCATCCTCCACCTGTGGCCCTCCTCCCAAGTGGACCCCTGTTCTTTAGCTGTTCCTTTTGTCTGGCAACTCTGCGCATGCGCACACTGGGAACAGGCTCCGCCCTCGTCAGAGCCCTTCTCAGACTCCAGGACTGGCCCCTGTTCCGCCCCAACCTCCTCTCTGTCCAAATCTGCTGCCAACTCCACTGGCGGGCCACGACAGGGTTGCGGGGGGCAGTCACAGCCAGAAAGGGAGCTTGGGAGCCCGTTTCCACTGGCAGAGCACTCGGCCCACCACAGGCATCCCAATACAAGTGACATCGAGCTGGCCATTCCCCCTGGCCACACACCCCCTGACCACG